TCTCTCTCTCTCTCTCTCTCTCCTCTCTCACTCTCTCTTTAAAAATAAATAAATAAATAAATAAATAAATGACAGTGGAATGAATGCTTTATAATTCTTATTACACATATACAGCACAATTTTAATTATCTCTGATTTTATATAAAGTATGTTGACACCAATTCGTGTCTACATACATGTACTTTGGATAATGATGTCTATCACATTCCAACATCTTTGCAAACCCCCTGCTCCCTCCCTTTCCCTTCCACCCCTCTGTCCTATCTAGAATTCATCTATTCCCCCCATGCTCCCTCTTTCTATTCCATTATGAGTCAGCTTCTTTATATCTTTATATCACATTCGTCATTTGGCTTTTTGGGATTGGCTAACTTCACTTAGCATTATCTTCTCCAATGCCATCCATTTACCTACAAATGCCATGATTTTATTCTCTCTTATTACTGAGTAAAATTCCGTGTATATATGCCAATTTTTTTTTTCTCCAGTCATCCACTGAAGGGCATCTAGGTTGGCTCCACAGTTCAGCTATTGTGAACTGTTCTGCTATAAACATTGATATGGCTGTGTCCCTGTTGTATGCTGTTTTTAAGTCCTTTGGGTATAGACCGAGGAGAGGGGTAGCTGGGTCAAATGGTGGTTCCATTCCCAGATTTCCAAGGAATCTCCATACTGCTTTCCATATTCATCAAATGATTGACTTGTAAAGTCTGACATTTTGTTTCTTTGATACCTTAAATGTGTTTATTTTAAAATTAGCAATATTTATTTTTCTGGTGATGAATTAATATGTGCTTATTGTAGAATTTGTGGAAAATATGGAAGGTATAAAATAAAAAATTAAAGAGTAATGGCAACGTTGGCACCAGTGAAATCACTAGTGATGTTTGTTGTGTGGGTCCTTAACCTGTAACTCCCGGGGGTGGACACAGTTCAGAATTTAGATTTTTCTTTTAGATTTTAGAGAGTATTGTGATGCAACTACCACTCATTACATATTACCCTAAGGGATTCTGGAGTGGCACCCTTAATAAACACACTGAATAATTCTGTACAAAAATAGAGGCTTACTTTTAGTAGTGGGATAAAATAGTGCCTTACATTAGTTCAGCTCAAGTTTTTTTTTTTTTTTTTTTTTTACCAAAACAATTACAAATAACATAATGTGACCAAACAACCCCCAAAAGTTTTTGGATTTAGAATTTTAGTTTTTAGAAGATAGATATGCTCCCTCATTGCATAGTTGCTTGGCAATTGTTTTATAGAGCGGACAAGGGATTGTGGATCAGTATTCTTTTCAGATACACAAACATATTCAAGAGTTTTGTTTCAACTTTTTAAATTTAATTATGAAATAAAATGTAAGTTATATGAATGCAAATATTTCCCTAAGTTATTAAAAATCACTTACAAACATGCTTTCTAATATTTATGTGATTTTATACTCTACAGAAATGCATTTTATTTGACTATTTCTTTCAGTTTTAGAATTACAGGTTTTGTGTTATTAGCTATTTCACTTTGAGGGATATATCTGACTATCAGATTTGTCTAAACTTCTGGACATTTCCTTAGGTGGCTTCCTAGAGAAAGAATTACCGAGTCAAGTGGCTTGAACTTTAAGGGTCCTAACCACCTTCTAGAGAGGCCACATGAATTTACACTCTTCCCAGAAACATGAGTGCCTGGTGAATTTGCTAATTACCTACTTTATTATGGACACAGAAAGATCCACTTGCACCCCACACATCTTTACAAAAGTTCTAATCAGTGGTGATCAAACTTAGGATATTTTATTTTATTTTTTTCTCAGAAGATAAAGAGCATCTTGCTGTTTTGTCATATGTCATTTGAAATGGGGTTAATGTAAGTTCACCATTGAATGGACCTCATTAGGCCCCACTGAGTCAGAGGTGCACAGTGGGAAAGTCATGACTTGCCCATGCAACTTAACATGGAAGGGGTGTGGGAGTATAGACACAATTCACATGTTACCAACGAGAAGGAAACCACTGATTGTCTGTGGGCTGAAGATTCAGCTTCTGCAATACTGAGGGCTTTGGCTTCCTTTCTTTTCATGTTTTCTTCTTTTTAGACATTATGCTGTTCCTTAGCATGGCCTCAGAAACAGAAGGAGATGTGAAGACGAAATCAATTATACACGCTAATAATGATGGCTCACCTTCACATGTGTTTCAATATGCCATCTCTGGTGCCATTTGTCTTGCACAGGTTAACTCATTTAATGTTGGGTGCACTGGTATAAGAATAAGCGGCTGGCGAGTTTTGAAAGTATGTGCCCACTCATCAGGCCTTCTTATGCCCTAATATGTTTGAAGGAATGTGAGCTTTGTTATTTCTTTTTTTTTTTTGCCTGTTTCTTATAACTTTTTTTTTCTTTTTTTTTATTGATTGTTCAAAACATTACAGAGCTCAAGACATAATCATCTTTCATACATTCGACTCAATTGGGTTTTGAACTCCCAGGGGAGGGGAGGGGAGGGAGCTTTGTTATTTCAATGATCTATTGGAGCCTAGTGTTTTATTACCATGACGCCACGTCTGACTGTAAATCATGAATGATACTTTCCCACTCTTTTGCTAACACCATCTATAGCTCCTACACAAAGCAGAAAAATGATGCAAAGTCCAAGAAAATTGGAGATAAAAGTAAACTCACTGAAGGTCCTGTATTGGCATGAAGTGCATAATAGAAAGATGAGGGTCTCTTACACAATACAAAACAGGTGTCCATGGAGAGACATGGGGGCATATCCATGATACATATTTTAACATGCATATACACGAATATATTCTTCCCAACAGTGAACACAAATTAGGATTGCAACAGCAGGGGTTTTAGCCTCAAGTCCCTTTCCATTTATAGATTTTTCTAATAAGCTTTCTTTCTTTCCCCCTTTATATATATGTGAACTTATAGAATATTTGGTGTAGAGAATGCCACAATTTTCATATGCTAATAAGAGAAAATTAAAGCAATTTTTTCTTGATATATCGAATGAAATAACCTTACTCTTTCCCTTATCTATAAACTCAATTTCTGCACCACATACTATAAAATGGATAAGGTGTAGGGGGAAGGGGTTCAAAATATTTCAACTTTACTCTGGAAGTGAATTAAATTTATCTTTCCCAATAGTCTCACTTAAAAGTAGGAATTGTTTCTGTTAAAATGATCCAAAGACCAAAGCTGTATTGAGAAGTGGACCATTTCCTTCACTGTGGCTTCTCCATTTATAATTTAAGAAGTATTCTCCTGAAAATTGGGTATCAAAGTAGGTAAAATGACTTATAAATGATTTTTCTTTGCCACAATCAGATGTATGGTTAATTTTCTAAGCACATGAGGACTCTAAGATGTGAAAAATAAGGTGGTAATAGAGGAAATGACTCCTCAAAGAGCATACTTTATTTTTTTAATTGCTTAGGTGGGGGGAAATCCAAAAAAAAAAATCATCGCTAATAACACAAATGCTTTCCTGAAGCTCTTTAGATCCTCCAACTGTACAATCAGTATTTGTAAAGCTAATTACAAATTTGGATACTCTCATTTTAAAAATATACTTCAAAGCAGCCCACTTCTGTTTCAATGCTGAACCAAAGTCTGTGCAATTGGCACATTATCAAAGAAAAATAAATAAATAAATAAATAAAGTGCATCACTGGAATAAAGTTACTACCTTCAGTGTCACTAAATCTTGAATGCCACAGGCTAAACACTAGCGATGCCACATGGTTATGTTATCTTACGTAAAAAGAGTATGCAGCTTTCCAAACCACGAGAGATGTACAGCTTTCTGCTCACACTAGCTTTTTTCTGTTATGTTGGGCAGGTGACTCACAGCCTCGGAGCCTAACACCTCCCACAGGTTCTTGTGAGGATTAAATGAGAATGTGTACAAGAGTGTTGACACACACGGAATTCTGGGCATCATTTTTCTTTTTACTAACAATTTTGTGAGGTATAAAGAAATCAAGCCATTAATCCTCATTTCACAATTAAGGAAATGGACAGGAAGATGTTGCAAAACCAAACAAATAAAAAAGTTTCACATTAGGAGTTTTATGTCTGCATCAGCCACAAACTAGATGAGTGACTCTCAGGGACTGGATTTATTTCGTAAAATAAGGAGGCTGGAGGAGAATGGTTATAAGGTCTTCTTGAGGCCAATGGTTCTATGATTCGAGAATCTAGACCATAGCAGTGATAGGGGAGGGGAGTCTCTGGAAAGACCTGGAGGAAGTGGTGTCTCCTAAAGGTGCCTCCTAAAGACATGAGGCTAAAGGCAGTGCCCACCAGTTCAAGGCCTGGGAAAGCAGCCTTGAGTAGTCTCCTACCCCTGGGGCATGGGACTGACATTAACTTACTCATTTGGTGGACTGAAGAGAGGTTTAGAGAATCCTAGAAAAATGGCTAATACTGCTGGGGCATAAGAAGAATGTAGTGGAGGAGCTTAAAACAGCAGGTCTTTATTAACTCATAGATATTTTACTATTTTAACAACTAGTATAGCTAAACAAATTTGTATC